CCTGGGTGTTAGGTCGAACCTCCGGTCGTTTTGGATCTGACAGACCCAGGGTGTTTATATATTAGGATATATATCTTATCTAATAAAAGAGTAATATGCAAATTAACTGTCACTCCACGACAAAGATGGCAGCACCCATAACGGCCGGGGCAGGACGCTGGCTGCATCACCCCAGCAACGTGAGCCCAGCAAGCAAGCAAGGCCCGCAGGCAGCACCCAGCAGGGCCTGCTTGACGGTTGCCGCAGTCACTCGCAAGCAGCCAAGCACAGGCCTGCTTGGCCCTGTAGTCACAGCGACCCGCGAGCAGACAAGCGCGGCCTGCAGGCAGCACCCAGCAGGGCCTGCTTGCCCATAGCCGTGGTGTGGAGCAGGCAGGCCCCGCAGAGAGCAGAGAACCACGGGGAGTGGGCCCAAGCCATTAGTAGGCCATCCCCTGAGGGCTCCCGGATTGGAGAGGGTGCAGGTCGAGCTGAGGGGACCCCCCCCCCCCCATGCACAAATTTCATGCACCGGGCCTCTAGTATATATATATTTAAATTTGTTCTTAACCTGGCTACACTATTTTAATTGAAAAACAATATAAGGGGAAATTTATGCTGCAAATGGCTTGGGAAAGCCTCTGGAAAATAAACCCAGCTCCAAGGCCTGTGGGAAATTGTGGGAGGAGCAATTGGAGAAGAAAGAAGTAAAGAACATGCAAGGGTCTTTCTCCTTCAAATGAGTAGAAAGCACACTCAGAGTTAAGGTCTTTCCTGTGTGTTTCCCTGGCCAAGATCCAGGACCTCCCTTAGCATTGCCATTGGCCCTTACTCTTCAGGACTATACACTAGACTGAGAGCACAATAAAGGCTTTATCAGTCTCAGTTATTGTTGTACTTCCAACACTTAGAAAAAAGAATGTTGAATGAATGTTTGTTAACTGTTAAATAAGTGTTCTGCACTGTAAAGAGACTCTATCTGCAGTGGTTTATTTTTGTTCTATGGGGTCATCCCATGGTTTAAAAGTCTGAAGAGAGCTTGTGGTCAGTTTGACCATTGGTGCCAAATACAAGTCAGCTTTCACTTTGCTTCAGACTCTCCTGTGACAAATCTTCTCTTTACCTTCACCTTTGCAGATACAGCCAAAAGGCAGCGAGGAATGGGATGAAAAATCAGTTCAACCTCCATGAGCTGAAAATGAAGGGCCCTGAACCGGTGGTCAGCCAAATTATTGACAAGCTGAAGCACATTAACCAGGTATGTGGGACTATATCCAACAAAAATGAAAGTGGCAAAGGAGTAAGGGATGGATGGTGTTCACTGTGCAAACTGAATTCTTGGGATTTTGGAGAGGCAGCCATTGTTTATTTTCTTCAAGGATTCCCTCTACTAAAAAGAATTTTTGACCCTCGTTTTTCATCCCACTTTTAAATCATAAAGATTATATTGTAATATTAGAGAAAGCTTGGAAAATAGATGGAAAAGTATTTCTCACAGTGCCATTCCTGTATTCCAATTGTTTTCATTTTCATATCTTCTTTTCTGATATTGAGAAACATCACACTCCAACTTTTTACATAATTAGAAGTATACAAGTGATTTAGAGTTCTTAAAATTAACACTATATTGGAAACACTTTTTAATGTTGCCACAAATCTTCATATTAATCATTTTGTGGCCATAAAATTCTTTTTAGTATTCATCATAATTAATCAGCTTGCTTTTGCTGCACATTCAGATTGCTTCAAACATTTTACCATTATAAATAAAGCTACTTCTTCATACATAATGCTTTCTCCTGATATTAGATCATTTTCTTAAAATACTGGGGTTATTGAGTTAAAGGATATGAGCATTTTTATTCATGTTTCTAAATTGCTTTCCAATGGGGATGTATCAGCTTTCACTGCCACCAGTAAGATGCAAGAGGACCAGTTTTACTACGCCTGTAACAACTTTTGGTTCACTGCCATGCATAGAGACACCCACAGATTTGCTTGACCTATACACAGAGTTTTTCCTCTCAAGAAGTTTAGTAGCTAAGACACAAATAGAAGTTAGTTGTACCATCTGCTTGTGATTGCTTTGTGGCCACAATAAAAAAATGCCAACATATATCAGAGTGACAGTGTTTTTGCCCCATGATTCATGGGTGGGAGAGCCCTGGAACCACTGACTTCTATTTGTAGCCTAAGAACTTAATGAAACTAAAATCCTTATGCAAGGACAGTGGTTTCTGTATGAAAACATTGGCATGATTTTGTTTTTTAATATGAAGTTTAGCAGTGAAATTTCTGTGGTTCTTAGAAAATGTTTAGAAAGGCTTTCTAAATAGTGGAATATTTTACTGCAAATGGCATTGTGAAATTATTTACAACACACTTGGGTGTGACTCCTCCAGTGCCTAATAAAGTGCTCTGCACTCAATGAGCACATAATAAATAGTTGTTACTGCTGCTGAGCACATGATAATGACAGTATTTGCATAACCATTTTTTTCTATGAACTCACAACCTCACTAAGTTCTATAAATCCTGGTTAGATATAGTGTGATTATTTAAAAATGCATCTCTGAAGGGTTCAGAGCACAATATAAACCACTAATGGCTGAACTGAGGGCATGGTACTTTTTCACCTGGGGACAGTGGCAGTATTTGTCCTCTGAATTATTGCCAAATTACCTCAAACCAATTTTATCTGGGTGGCTCCACTCAATTGGTTAGACCCCAGCATTGGTGAGGCCAAAATCTGAGGGCCCATCACTGTTCCCATAATCCTAACTGAAGAATACTGTCAACAGAGATGTTTGATGAACCGAACTTAAGGAATACCCACTATGTGTTCAGCTAGGTTCCAGGGAGTTTAAGGGTTCTGCAGGAGTCTAAAACTGTTTTCACGGTTTCTTCAGAGGGGACGCACAGCATAGAAAGTGCTTAAATAAAGATAAACAAATATAAATAAAGATGATGAAGAGCCAAAAGAGTGATGCTGCTCATTAATTTTGGACAGTTTGCTTAGGGCTAAGCTGGGCTAGGCTAGCATAAGGATTCCAGATAGACGCAGGTGTCAAGATCTGCCATCAACAATGAGTAGGTAAAGACAAGCAGGGGAGTGGCAGTCATAGGAAAGATTAGACAAGCACCTGTGGATGGATTATCCCCCACACACACACACCTGGGAAAAAGAGGAAGCTGCATCAGACATGGGATTCTGTATGATCCAAAGTTCACTAAAATATTTATAATGAGTCCCTTTTGAAAACACTTAGTTAGATGTTTGATATTAATACTGTGGGAGACCATGTGATATAGTAAAAAGAAAATGAGCTTTGGATTGATAGACCTGAATTCAGTTGTGGCTCTTACTAGGTGTATAACCTTGCACAAATCACTGTTTCTCTGAGCTTTAGTTTCTTCATCTGTAGTATATAGAGATATCTTAACAAGGTTACTGTAAGGATTAGAATATATATATATATCCCGATTATATAATTAAATATATAACATTTTATATATTATACATATTTTACATATATATCCACGATGTATTTACAGAATACATAACATGTGTTGACATAATAAGTGGCCGTTAAGATGATTATATTCAGGATTTTCTCTATAGGCCAAACCTGAGTTTGAAAAGGAGCGAATTCCCAGTACTTTGTACCAGCCTAATTCTGCTCCCCCAATTTTGTATGATTGCAGATCTCTTTGATCCACCTATCTTTTCTCTTTTGTATTGTTTCCTTCTTTCCCTTTCCTCTAATTTCTAGCTGCAAAAGCTTTTCAGCTTTAGGTAGGGACATATATATTGTCATAGTAGGAAAGGTCCCAATTTACAATTCCTTTATCTTACCTTCATCCATGAATATGTGTGTGAATATATTTTGTTCCCTTACAAAAACCATTAAGCAAACAATTACTTCACATCCATAGACCAGTTTTACCTGTTTAAGTTGAGCTGTTAAAATTGGTTGGCTCCAAACACCCACATTGATTTTTTTTCTCATCTGTGTTGCTTTCCATGGCTTTATTCAGGTCTTCCATAAAATTTCTATTTTTGATCATAAATAAGAATGTGATGATGATGATGGTGATGATAGTGATAATATGTTTATATTTATGTAGCATTTGACCATATTTCAAAGGAATTTTATTTCCTAAAAGACTAACTACTTATGTTGAGAAAAATAGCAAACCTAGAATTGTATAACATAAAACACCTTCACGGAATCATTCTTTTCAAGAACTCACTGTTACAACTGGGCATTATGTCATCCTCACTGCCCCCTGGGAGATTAATAATAAATAATGTTTGTTCCTTTTTATAGCTAGGGAAACTGAGGCAGAAAACCATTAAGGGCTATGTGGGCATACTGCCAAACCATTCACTGAGTTCAGTTGAAAATTTGATCAGTCATCCAGATGTTGTTTCCTATATACTGCCAAACATCTGGACTCACTGAATGCCTGACTAAATTGACCTAAAGTTTTAGTGATGGGAAGGTAGAATCAAGTTAACTTGTCCAAGTTCACATGTAAGTGAGTGGTGAATCCAGGAGTGTAATGTTATTTTTCTAAGCCCCTTGCTTGGTATTAAACTACAGTAGGATGCTCCAACATACATATCTATAAATACAGAGGCATTGATATTTTTCTCTATCTATGCATGTATGCTCACGTTTGTCCATAAAGATGGACTGTAGTTAGGCCATTTATAAGCATATTCCAAAATAACTCTTCACTTTCTTCCATGGAAATTCTCAGCTGACTCCTTTCAGGTTATAGTTGCTGTTGATAGCACTGGAAATAATATACTCACTAAGGGAATAAAGTAACATTATTTCCATATTGACAGTCCCATGGTATAATCTTGAGGGGATAGGTTCAGGGTCAGGCCAAGAGCCCCTTTCCTGGGAAGGCCTGCAGGTGTGGAATGTCCTCCCCTCCTTCCAAGCCAGAGTTCATCTGTAACATTCCCACGACTGGAAATGAGGATCTTTTTATTTCCTTTTCAGTTTCTAATCTGTGTGAGGATTTATTGTCATGTGTTAGGAGAGGAATTGAAATCTTTAAAGTTCTCAATGTCAGTCCTGGAATTTGCAGGAACATATTGTGTGTTTTTTTAATAAAACAGTTTTTGTTATGTTCTGCTCCAAGGCTACTGCATGGAAAGAAGAACCCACAATTACCAAGAATGATCACAGTCCATTCTTACCCATATGTTACTGTGGGCCATTTGTCCTCTAACCCTATTCTGTTGGTAACATTTTCTCTCTCTTGAAGTTAGCTATGTACTTAGTGCTAATTTAGCAGTCCCAAAACTGCTATAGACGTTATTATTCCCAAGGAAAATCTAGCTGTTTATTGGTTTTCCCTGTTTCATTTCAGGTTCAAATATAATTCCATAAATTGTTTTCCTGCCCATTGTAAACAGTTGTAGCCAGAGCAGTCAATACCTGCCCATTTAGTGTCAGAGTTTTTCAAAGTTAGATAATGTCTTATCTGTTTGGGATGGTTAACATGTCCTGCTGAATGGTAGAGGAGTAGACGAGATGGCATCTTAAGATTCCTTCAAGTTGTGTGATTCCGTGATTTGTGGCTCAAGGTCTGGCTTTAACCAAGCACCATCTTGTGAACAAGTCTTGTGACTTTATTCTCTGCTCTGCCACTCGTTTGAAAACACCCTATTTCAGATCACTCTTTTCTACTTTATAACCTCTCATCTTTTCAGAGATTGTTCCCTTCCCACCAGTCTTCCAGCTTGGGCAGATGGAACTTAAACTTACCTTTCCCCTCACCCAATTCTTCTGTTTTTCTGCCTTGTTCTCATCAGGCTATAAAAACATTAAATTATAAAAACACTTTTGCATTTATCACCCCTAAGTTTCCCTACACCAGAGCTAGATCTAGTTAATCATGTGACTCCATATGAATGATAATAATTCTGCCATACATTTGCATAGCACAATTCAGTTTGTAAAGCTCTTTCATGTACCTTAGAAAAATTTACCTTCTCAATGGCTTGGAAAAACAGGTATTATTACCTACATTTGCCCAGTGAAGAAACTGTGGGCACTAGAAGGCTAAGTGACCTACGTGTAGTAAGTGGTAGAACTAGACCTACAACCCAGGGCTACTGATTTCAGTGTTTTGTGCTCTTTCCTTCTACTTCTAAAAAGACATGGCACACCTCGTTATGGTAATCAAGATCCATATATAAAAGATATGCAGAAGCACAAATTATAAAAACTCATT